CACGAAAAAATCCACGGAACGGATACGATATATCCGGCGGCGCTAGTTAATAAATAAATTTCACTCACCGGCGTTGGATGAAAATAAGTCCGCTTTCAATTTTCACCTTTCGAACGACCTACCTTAACTGTAAACATAAAAAAAAAACAAATTGTTAATGAAATTTCGAGAAAATAATTTTTTTACTGCAAAGGCGATTTTTAATTTTGATTTGAGAGTTTTTATTTTAAATTATTATTTAAAATTATTTATTATTTTAAATTTTTTCATTTTATTGGAGAGTTAATTGAATAATTGAAAATTGTTTGTAATATAAGCATTGAATATATCAAGAATCAGGAATGAAAAAAATGACATGAAAATAAAATGAAAATGATGCTTCAAGGTCATAAAAAAATGCATACGAAACTCACCTTGCAGTCGGTTGCAAGATTCCCTCCAATCCTGATGATCTCTCCATGTGATTCTGACGCCAAAGGTTGAAGTCGACTTGGAAGCACCAGCACTCGAGACACTTCAAAAATTCACTAATCACTCACCACACAACCAAGAATGTTTTATCAACTCAAAATCCACAAAAATCAATAAAATAATATCAAAGATCAAATAATATTTTTGATCATTCAAAATAAGATGAATGAGAAAAGTAATCCTTCGAATCTAATTCGCACTCTCACTTCAGTCGTATCTAAACACACACTAAACAATTCCGAGAAACGGACAAAGGAATTTTTGTAAACACAATGACGCCGGGCGGCCGTTCGGCAATACCGAAGTTCAGTGTAACAAAGGAAAAATGTCAATCACTCAAAATGCTCTGATAAACTGTTTAAAAAATTATTTCACATCCCAAAATCACTTGCACTGAGTCCCGCACTATGTATTTTCAATGTTCACATGCAGCGCCGGTTTTCTGCACTCACTAGGACCCCGATGTTAACGGCTTTTCACTACGCGATACACAACCGACCGTTCCACGCACTGCCACCGAACGACTGACCCCCCACACCCAATGGCGGGGCGTTGGAGGCGGCGCTCGAGTGGGGGGTCGCCAGGCGATACTCCGCGCATGCGCATATCAGACCGTGCATACGCACGCACACCGTGCATGCGCACAGAACACCGCGGGTAGTCTCAATTTGACGAGATAAGATAATTGCGAAAATTCTGAACCTAATAAATAATTCTCTCTTAAAAAAAACAGTGCAATCACGTAAAATCCAATAGTCAGTGAAAAATTGTCTACAAAAGCATAAATGAACAATGGGTATATGATTATTTCAATAAGAGAGATTCTTACTCAGTATTGACTATTGTTTCATAAATCAAGTAATTAAAGTGAAACTCTTTCCACGTCACCCAAGAGGTAGAGTCCTTGACGCGTTTTTTTTAAAGTGGTATCCCCTATAGGCCTAATCCACTAAGTCAATAGATGGGAAATTGTTATGATTTGAAAACCTGGAATCAAAAAAGAATCATGACATTTATTAATAATGAATAATAATGAATTAATAATAAATTCATCAATTTCTATGGATATTCTAGCTGCATTGTCGATGTTGAATCATCTCAGCAATAGCTGAGAAATTCTTATCGGGAGATACAGAAGTCGATGAATTCCTGGAACAATTCTTGACCCGAAGAAAGATAATGCATTTGCGAAAGGTGAAGGTAGACAAAATGCGAGAGCTTAAGAGGAAACCGAAATCGTCAACAGGGGGATATCCAGCAGTGAACACCTTTCGCCGCCCAAGTTTTCTTAAAGCTATTTCCATAATGTGGATCAAAATAATTCCCACGATAGCCCTCATCTCGGACAACAAGACAAAAGACTACATCGTAGGCTTCACGGACCTCGGAAATTGCGACAATTTTTCCACAGAGATGATGGAGTGGAGAATAGCCCAGTCTGGTGCAATATCATACACTGGTGACCTGTTGAATCCACCAGAAAAGGGAAAGAAGCCGTCTAATCTACTCTTCGGAAACCAGAAATCGAAAACAATTCGAGGCAGAACTAATTCTGACGACAGTGGTTCTGATAACGAATGATTTATTCTCGTTCGATCGAATTTTCCTAGTTATTCGCATACCTTTTTGGATTATTATTATTTTTTTTACGTCACACACACTGATAAATGATAAATTACGAATTCAATCAATCTGATCGAACACAATAAACATTTATTTATGGGTTTATATTGCATTTTTATTTGAGTTATAAATACCTTCAGCCCTCCTCATAAGTAAAAACTGAAATATAAAAATGTTTCGTCAGGAATATTATGGAATGATATGACTTTTACATGACCTGCATACAAAAATAAATTTATAGTAGTTTTCAAAAAGTGCACTATCCACTCTGGGTCGAATTTGAAGATTATTACCACACACTGAAAAGACATACAAAACATTGGCTTTTAAAATTGTATTTAAACGGTAAATACTACGAGTATTAGGCTATGGTGCATTTACCTGGATATATGAAAGTATTTTTGAATGAACCTTTTTGTTTAGACTCATCTCGCTCATCCCACAGGGTCGTCCCATCGCAGGCACAAATTCTTTTCGTATTTTCGAAGACTCCTGATGATCTCGCGATAATTCCACACCCTAGTCTGTGGAATAAATTATTAAAAGTGTTGAGTAAAAGCAATACGAAAGAAATCATTCATAAACTCACTTCTGGCCACTATTTCCATCAAATTTTGATGTTGAACTATTCTCCTTGTCCAGAACACCGGTCGCCTCTGTATTAGCCTCAACCATTTTCTCTTCACTCTCTAATATCTCCTTTCGTTTTCTCATTTTAGTCAATAGTACATAGACTCGTCCTTGAATCCCATGATTGTCTAATTCTTTCCTAACGACTTCTGCGGTCTGTGATATAGTCTGAAAGACATTGGTCATCTTAAAAGCCTGACTTTTTTCTGATAACGTCTCAGCAGCTCCCTTCGCAGATTTTGAAATTTCCTTACCCAATTGCCCAGCTTTTTTATCCAACTCCGTTTTTCCTGCCTC